TTTTTTAAAAAGCAAATAAAAAAAAAAAGAAAGAAACCAGTGTAGCTGTGTTTGAACATTGACCTATGAACCAGGAGGTTATGTTTCGATTCTGGTCAGGGCATATGCCTGGGTTTCAGGCTCAATCCCCAGAGTGAGGTGTGCAGGAGGCAGCAGATCAATGATTCTCTCTCATCACTGAGGTTCCTATCTCTCTCTCTCCCTTGCCCTTCTTCTCTGAAACCAATTAAAAATATATTTTTTTTAAAAAGAGACAGCTATCAGATATCTCAGCAATTATTTGTTTGATAGAAAGAGATAAGTGAATAGAAATTTTTTTCTTAACCAAAAGACAGGGTATTCAGAGAACAAGAGCTGAATACTTTTAATCTATTAACATTTCATTTATAGTTTTAGTCACTGAAAAGATATTTGATTAGATAGTGCTTCCCAGCCTTGAAGCCATATATATATGTACTAATGGCCCATTGCACGAAGATTCACACAATAGGCCTTCCTTCCCCTGGCTGCCGGCACCGGTTTTCCTCCGGCACCTGGGACCCAGGCCTTTGGTCCAGCTGCTCCCAGCCCCTCCTTTTTTATTTTCCAGCTCCTCCAGCGGAGCCCAGGGCGGACTAGAAGCCTGGGTTGCCCCCAACGACCCAGGCCCCCAGCCACTCCTTCAGCGGAGCCCAGGGCAAGCTGAAAGCCTGGGTTGCCCCCAGCGAGCCAGGCCCCCTGCAACCTAGGCCCCCAGCCCCTCCTTGAGCAGAGCCCAGGCCCCCAGCCCCTCCTTGAACAGAGTACAGGCCCAGTGGAAAGCTTGGCATCCTCCATCGCCGGGAGCAACCCAAGCCTCCTGCTCGCTCCAGCTCTGTGGCCGCCACCATCTTCAGTCATCTTCAGTCTTTGCTCTGTGCCTGTGTATGCAAATTAACCACCATCTTTGTTGGGTTAATTTGCATAGTTGCTCTGATTGGCTGCTGGGTGTAGTGGAGTGATGGAGTGATGGTTAATTTGCATGTTTCTCTTTTATTAGTGTAGATGTTGTGACTGTAAAAATAAGACTGATTATCTAGTACAAACCATATTTGCACAGTTATATGTATATACACAGGATATGTATATTAAGTAAATTTAAAAATTTCCTTCAGATTCACATGAGACTGAATATTCATATTAATATTTATAACTTGCCTCTTACCATGAATTATGAATAACCACCCATTAGTTCTCCTACTAAACAGTTGTCCTTTAATAAACTAATCAGAAAATAAGTAAATTTAGGAGAAGAATAATGAAAAACACTGCAATCTTCTGCAAAGTAAATGCTGACAATTTATTTTTAGGAAACAGCAGCAACGGTGCTTAGACTAGTGCTTCTTAGAGCTGAACCAAAGACCACAATTCAAATGGGAAGGTAAGGTATATTCTAATGAAACTACTTTTTTACAATTATCAGCTAATAATTCCAATGATAATGGCATGAGGAAAAAGTATATTAATTGTACATACTCTTTATTGAGCCTTCAAAAAGGAGACCTTCTATATGTAAAAGCATAAAATTATGAATGGGAATGATAAGCACCAAATTCACGAAAGTGTTTACCTTTGCAAATGATGGGAGAAGAATTAAATTGAGGAAGGGTATACAGGGGACATTAATTGTATCTGTAACATTTTAAATAGATTGGTGGGTCTACAAGTGTTCTTGTCCTTATTCTCCATACTGTTTTTGGTATACCCAAAATATTTTATTAATAAAAAAGGAAACTTCCGCCGAAACCGGTTTGGCTCAGTGGATAGAGCGTCGGCCTGCAGACTGAAAGGTCCCAGGTTCGATTCCGGTCAAGGGCATGTACCTGGGTTGCGGGCACATCCCCAGTGGGAGATGTGCAGGAGGCAGCTGATCGATGTCTCTCTCTCATCGATGTTTCTAACTCTCTATCTCTCTCCCCTTCCTCTCTGTAAAAAATCAATAAAATATATTTTTTTTAAAAAAGGAAACTTCCACTTTAAAATATCTTCAATAGGACCACTCTAAAGACAAAAACAAAAAAGTTGATAGATACAGAGAACAGGTTAGTGTTTGCCAGATGTAGGGGTTGGCGGGTCCTATGGGTGAAAGGGGTCAAAAGATTTTTTTAAGAAAACAAAAACCACATAAAACAAATGTATAGTTTTATGAAGTTTTATAAGGGAACTCCCCTACCAACTGCAACTGCCACCTATGCCAAAAAAATAGAACACTGCCAACTACCCCCAAAACTCCCCATCATAAGTCCTGTTTGTGCAGTTTCCTCCTTCTCCCCCATCATCCCAACCTTTACCTAGTATAGTAGCCACTTATCCTGTTTCTTCATTGTTTCAGCACCTAAATATACACCAGATATTAGAGCCCAATACTGCCTACTTTTTAATTTGACGTTATTTAAATTTCTTTAATCTACATATTCTTCCTCTATTCCTGTCCTATCCTTACAATTTATTGAAGAACCTATAGAGTTTCCCACAATCTGAGTTTGCTGATTGCATACTCAAAATGCAGTTTACTATGCTCTAACCAGCTGGATCAAGAGGCTTAATCGCTTTGGCAAGACTATAGATGTTTTTTCATCAGATGGTACATAATGTCTGCTTATACTTCCTTTTGACATGCTAGCAGCCATTTATATTCATTGTCTACACCCTAGAGCCATTAATTTATTGGGGTTTGCAAATTAGTGATATTCTAGTTTTATTTTCACTTATTAGCAAAAAAAGCAGGAATGATTTTATTAAAAAAAAGATATGCTTACCTGTATTATACATTCTAATTTGAATCTTTTGAGGGCCTCTTCCCTGAACTCCAAATGTATGTATCCAGCTGCCCATTCCACATCTCTATTGGATGTCTGATAAGCATCTCAAACCTATGTCTAAAACCAGCCCTCCTCCTGCAGTGTTCCACTTTCCAGTTCCTCAGACCTAAAACCTTTATGATCCTTGACTTTTGTCTCTTTTACATCCAAATCCAATCCATCAGCAAATTCTGTTGACTTTACCTTCCAAATATATCCAAAATCTGACAACTTCCACCAATACCATAGGAACCACACTACCATCATGTCTTGCTTGGGTTACTCAATATAAATTTGGCTTCATTTTTTTCATTTTGTTTTTTGTTTTTAAAGATTATATTCAAAATTTGACTTAATAACATTTTATAATTATGCAAAATGATATGGTTCCAAAGTCAAATATACAAAATATGTTTCCTTTAAGAAGTCTAATTTTCATTCCTTTCCTGTCTACACTGACTCTCTCTTTCCCCCTATGTAGGTAATCACTTTGAGTAAGTTTTTAGTTTATCGTTTTTTCTTTTCTTTTTTATATGAGACACATAATATATATTTGTACTTTCCTTGGAAGCATATGAGCATGATAGATAATGGTAGTACATCATACATAGTTTTCTCTACTTTGCTTTTGTCAGTTAACAGCATATCCTGGACATCAGATATTCAAGTTTGTTTGTTTTTAATATTTAAAGATGGTTTCTGAATGTTACTCAGTAATAACATACTAAGCAAAATTTAAAATAATCTTTTCATAGCAATTATCAATTTACTTCAAATCACATATACAACTTTCAGAGAGATGGTAGAATTAGCAACTTTTTCAGCAAAGACTCCTCCCAACTTAGAAATAAAAATATTTTCCAATTTTAAATAATTTTAATAGTTTTTTCTATTGTGCTGGATTATTTTATTAAGTTTATACTTAATTAAATTACATATACATGTTGAATTTCTAGAGCAACCAAGAGTAAAATAGAAATAGAGTGTTTACATTCTAACCCTTACCTATCAAGGGTCAGATAGTAAATATTTTAGGACTTTCTGGGTCAAGAGGCAAAATCAAGTACTAGTAAAATGACAGTCCATCTGGGCAAAGAAAAAGTAAGATTCCTTATATTATACTATAAAAACTGAATTTCACATAGATTAGATATCTGAATATGAAAAGTATGTCTATGAAAATATTCTACGAAAATTAATGTGTAAGCTCAAGGTGTAATCAATGTGATGGAGCCAATAACATAACTCGCCAGTTTAACTCAGTGGATAGAGCAGCACCTCCGCACACTGAAGGATCCCAGATTCAGTTCCAGTCAAAGGGCACACACCTCAGTTGTAGGTTCGATTCCCAACCCTGATCAGGGCAGGAGGCAACCAATCAATGTTCTCTCGAAAAGAAAAGTCCTGAAACCAAAAAAAAAGTGACAGATTTTTAAAAACTTTTCTTGATAAGCTGTAAACATCCATACAGAAAGAGCACAAATCCTAAGTGAATAGCTAGAGA